GATATTTTACGGTGCAAACTGTCTTTCATCGTTTAGATGTAGTAGTAGTAAGGTGATATTTTACGAGACAGTCTGTGTGTTTCATCCCTTAGCTGTAAACACAGATCGAACTATGCATGCGGGTAAGAATGGGAATCGTCAGTGCAGTAGCCTCCTACCCGCAATTTATTCATGGGACATGTAACTAATTTACAAGACGGATGACTGAAAGGAAAAGAGAGAGGAGGACAGAAAGTGCAGTAACGCATAATTTTTGTATACTTTTTTTGTATAATTTTTATATAATTTCTGTCTGTATAATTTCTGTACTTGTATAATTTCTATATTCTCTGCTTGAAGTGCGTGAACCCTCCGTAATTGAAAGTTTAAATTTATATCTATGCAGTCGGTAAATTCCCAGTTGTTTTGACCAATTCTTTGTCTTATAGTGGTGATCAACCTGCTGGCAATCCTGACTTATGTTTCTTCTCCTGAATGAGCTGCCAAAACCCCTGTTTGACTGAGCAATTCTGTTAACAGGAACTTTTGGGATATATTCTTAGTGTTTGTCAATTGCCATCACTAGCGTTCGAAACGTTGCCTCTCCTGGACCCTCGGTGGAGGTGAGGTATCTTATCGATGAGGGTATTTTCATCGAGGAATTTTGGTTTTTAAAGTTAATTTTTTTAAAAGAATCTTGGTTTTTAAAGTTAATTTTTCCAAAAAATAATTATTTCCAGAAGAGATGAACAGCTGACGTCGTATGCCGAATTCAAGGTACAAAAATTCTCACCACGACATATTCCCTCGGCCAAGAGGCTACTTTGTTTGAGTGAAAGTTGTATTATTGAACGTGATCCAGCAACATACGCGGCCATTTGTTCCAGGGCTTTGAAATCCGTAAGTTTCCGTGTCGTTTGTTTTTGCTAAATTAGTATATTGAAGATATTGGGTAACGTACCAAAGATATTTTCTAAGCTGTAAAAGAGCCTCATTGAGGTCTCGAAGTGGTAAAGTTTAGGACGAAGTCCTATTACTCGTCGTATTTTAAAGGAATTTCGAAAAGCTGAATCTCTGCCATGTACTTTTGTCGGGAAAA